CTGGACGTCGCCCACTGCCCTGGGCAGGCCCCCTGGGTGCGGCTCATGGGACGGTACCTGCTGCCCCTCTGCAAGCAGCGCTGGCACACCTGTGCGGCCTTCTTGCCCCAGGGAGGGCTCCTGGTCTGCGGGGACCGCCGGGGCTCCCTCCTTCTCTTCCCTTGCAGCAGCTCTGCAGGGTGGGCTGCGGAAAGCACCGGCGTCGCCGATGGCGGCGCAGACCCGATCAGCAAGGACTCCGGCAGCGAGTCGGGGCCTTCTTGCTTGTTGCACAGAGGGGCTCTTCCCCTTGAGGCCCCGCTGTCCGTGCTCTTCGGGCTCCACGGGAAGATGGGGGTTACCTCGGTGACCTGCCACGGGGGCTACATTTACAGTACCGGCCGGGATGGCGTCTACCGCCAGCTCCACCTGCGGGGCCAGCAGCTGGAGGTCCTGCGGAAGCACAGGCCCTGCAAAGGGCTGCAGTGGATCGAGGAGCTGCGCTTCGCCCCAGATGGGGACCTGCTGGTGCTGGGCTTTCACGCTGACAACTTTGTGGTGTGGAGCAGCAGGACCGGCGAGAACCTCCACTGCATCCCCTGTGGCGGGGGGCACCGCTCCTGGAGTTACTGCAGCAGCTCCTCGGCCGAGGGCTTCGCCTTCATCAAGTGCGGGGATGTGATGCTGTACCACCGCGAGGCCCAGCCCTGTGAGCAGCAGGTGCTCCTGGCGTCCCTGCACGGGCGGGAGATCACCTGCGTGCGGCGCCTGGGGGCAGTGGAGGTGCCCGACCACACCACTCTGGACATCTTTGTCACCGGCAGCGAGGACACCACGGCCTGTGTCCTGGCTCTCAGCAAGCAATCCCAGCAGGCAGCGCCCCTTGCCCGGCTCAGCGACCACATCTCCAGCGTGAGGGCGCTGGCGCTGGCTGGCCCCACGGGACCTGGTGATGAGGGCTTCAGTGATGAGGGCTTGTCTGCCCTGCTCTTCTCTGCGGGTGGCCGGGCGCAGATCGAGTGCTACCGGTTGCTGTGTGACGGGGACCCAGACTCCGAGAGCTCCGTGGCCTGCCAGGTCATCCATGTGGCTTCCCACCGGCTGGACGAGCACTGGGAGCGGAAGAAAAACAGGCACAAGCTTGTCAAGATGGACCCAGAGACGAGGTGATGCTCAGGGACTGCCCAAGGCAGGGTTAGTAGTGACCGTGGTCCAGGAGGGTGCTGGGGGCTGTGCTGGCCTCCACTGGGATACCCGCTCTGTGCGGCTCAGCTGAGGCAGAAGGAGCCAGTGTGGCTTCATGCACGCACACCTGGTGCCCTGTGCCCAGTGGCTGGGCCTGGAGAGGCTTTTGGGCTTAGGGAAAGGCTCGGTCTTTCCTCGTGCCTCCTCTGAGTGCTCGGAGCTGTGTCCCGCGCTGGGCTCAGGCTGCTCTGCTGGGCCACTCACCTCGCTGGGGCTGCAGGTATCACCGAGGCGTCAGTGAGCGTTGTCTGTTTGCTGCAGGTACATGTCCCTCTCGGTTGTGCCCGGGACCAGCACTGAGCAGCTGCCGACACCCTGGAAGTTCCTGGCTGCCGCCTGCAGCGATGGATCAGTCCGGTGAGGAGCCGCTGTGAGGCCTGGCGGGGTGAACGGAGCTGGGGCTGGCGACGGGAGCAGAGCAGGCTCCACAAGGGGGGCTGCTGCCATGGACGTGGCCGGTTGTGAGCCAGGAACAGGACAGCACATGGTGGGCAGTCGGGGCAGATGTGCCGGGAGCCCCCTTCTCCCATGGCCAACTACCCTCTGCTCTGTCCTAGGGTCTTTGGGCTGCTGGAGGCCGCCCGGAAGCTGGTGCTGGTGGCGGAGTCATTTCACCACCAGCGCTGCGTGCTGAAGGTGGAGGCGTTCCTGCACACATGGGCAGGAGGGGAGAGGTGAGCCCTGAACGCTGTGCTGCAGCCAACGGGGCTCTGCGGAGAAGCGTTCTTCCTCGCAGGGATGGCAGCTCAGCGAGCAGAGGGAAGGGAGAAATCCGTCCACGGGGGCTGTTCTGCCGCTTCCCCAGCTCTCGGGTGGCGACCGTCAGGGTTGTAGGGCTGCGGCCAGAGGCTCCCCCAATACCTTCCTTCTAGGAGGCGCCTCCTGTGCA